CTATCCACGGGAGGGAGATTTCCATGGAGATAAGAATTAACTCGAGAGGAAGAAACTGTAGTGATTGGAAATATTTTGCAGCCCGAGTGCCTCGGGGAGATCCCATCTATCTGGTGAGAGCATACAAGGGCTCTATGGTGCAGATGTCAACAATTTATGCATGGGAGCGAGCCATTTCCTCGGTCTAGTGATATCGAACCATATATGAGACCACTCGTAAACTCCGCGGTATTTTCTCTATTTTTTTACTCCACTTTTCCCCTTTTTTTAGCTTTTTTCATCGATTTATTATGCAAAAGGATGATTCCAGAGGTCGGAAGGTTTGGGAAAGTGGAAAAATCGTGAAAATTCCTGTCAATTCAATTATTGTAGTCCAATTATTGGAAATAATAAAATGTCAGCCCAGGGGCTGAGCATGATTACGATTTTTGGGGGAGAATAATTTTTTTTCAATTTCATATTTTTCATCTAGAAATTATTTGATAGAAAAAAAAATTAATCCTCGAGTGTAACACCGGCTCTCGTCCAATACTATTACATAAAACAATCTTGAAAGACTGATCACATAAAATGAAAGGGAAAAACTTGTCGAATGCCAAATAAATTTAAGAATCTGACGAACGCTATTCGGATTTCACTGGATATGAAAAATTTATGAGAAACGCATCTATAATATGAAGCTGCAAGAATGTAGCCGATCAAGTGATTTTTTAATGCTGTCATTATCCATTTGAAATACTCGATTGATGGAAAAAAAATTTTAAATTACACGTGGACGTACAGGATACCTCAGTGATCAGAAATCAGACAAAGAAATGCCGACTGGCTCTTGCATCTGGAATTACCATACGGATTATCCCGGAGAATAAATTTTTTTTTCGGTTACTTCAGAATTATTTCCGTTAAAATTCCCAACATCAGAATTCCCATTCAACGTTCATTTCACATTATCATTCAAACTTCTGAAGTTTAGGACGTCCCACGCGCCTTTTTCTCAGACACTCAAAATCGACTTAAATAAATAAAAAAGTAAAATAAATATAAAAAAAAAAATGGTGGTTCTGCTTAATTAAATCGAAACGCTCCAACAATATTTCCCCCGAAATCCCCGATAAATTTCTTCATTATTCAAGTGAGAATCCCAAGAGATGAAAGTAACTCTTCATTACACCCATTGATTAATCCCCAGATTTAGCGATGGCTGGGTGGAAAATATCACCCAAGGACACGATTTCCATTTTCTTTCCCCGGGATCTGGTGTAGCTGGCCCTCTTCCTCCCACCCTATTCAATTTACGGAATATCTCTCTCTGTCATTTGGCCTCGTTCTCTCACCGGGAATTTTCTTGGTCCTGTCGTTGCCTCCCACCCACCGCTCCTACGACAAAATACAACGTTTTGGCGAGAGAAGTCCTGAGGAAAGGATCCCGGAGGGCTCCGGCCAATCAGAGGCCACGCTTTTCTCCGGCTGCCGATCAATGTAAAGCCCTTCGTACCGATGTGCCACCGGGGATAGTATGTAAGGTGAATTATATACACACAGAGCCACCTTTACCGGAATTCGGATAGAACGACGACGAGGAGAAAAGAGGAGAAAGAGGAGAAAGAGGAGAAATAGGAGAGGAGAGAGTTCTCAGTCCGCCATTTATGCTCCCTCGCCCTGGCATATGTAACCCAGAAGCTCTCGGATTCATCAAACTACCCAAAATCCACCATGGAAATTAACCCTTGGATCCTCATGCCCAAGACCCCTTAACCTACAGCTTGTGCTCTCCTATTTTCCAGCTTCATGGCAAATTGGAGAGGAAAATCGGTTGAGATCGATCTCACTGACAAGAATACCCACCCGATTAACTTGTTCTCGTCGCTTCATTGATAATTGACTAAAGACGAACCGTGGGAGAGAATTTTTCCACGGCGATTTTACAACCACTTACCTTTCCTCGGGAAAATTGAATTCTTCGGGCTGTATGAAAAGTTGGAAAATTGCATTGCAAGGATTATCCTTTCTTATCATCAAAATACAACTCTCGGATCTTTCATTTTGAAAAATTCATTTCTGTCATTCCATTCTACGAGTTGTCCACAGAAAATATTTTCTCATTTTATTTTCTCGTGTTTACGATAATCTCTGGGTATTTTCAATGAGCACAACCCAGTGTTTAACTTTTCAATCGCCGGAAAATATTTTTCCGGAATTATTGTAACGATTGGAGTGAACTAGATTTTTTGGTGCGCGAGTTCTCGTGCTATTTACAACCGAATGTCTGAGGTTCGTACGTCAGCAACTTTTTCGGAGGGAAATTCTGATAGAGACATTCTTCGGGCGCCCTGTATCCGGAAATTTTTCGGATGAATGAGCCAGAGCTCATTCTCATAATCCATTGATTCGATCCATCGGTTCAATGATAAGAATGCACTATCTAATTCCCTGGGACATGTCCATCGGGTTTTTCCTCCACGAATATATCGCAGAGGAATTTTTATTCATTTCAATTACAAGCGCGCTATTGTCTCGACATAATTAATGGCGGAAAGATTATTTTTTAATGAAAAATACTTGAAATAATTGTTTTTATTGGTTGAAATTTTTTCTCTCTCGACGAATTCCTCGGGGATACATTCCGATACTTGGGATGAACGTCTTAAACATTTTTTCTACTCACCCATTCACCGCCGGACCGCCATTGCCGCAGATGTCTGGAGCTTCTGTAACAATAAGAAGAGAAAACCGTTAGATTGCCCCAGGAGGTTCACAATTTTCTCGAGGCTGTACCACAAAAAATATTTAAACTACAAAAAATTCACTCTGAAATTCAGTGACATAAAACGATTTCAATGAGATCATTAAATCACTGAAATAATTGTTTTCCATGAACTTGCATTTCCTGGGATTATATTCGATTTCATTACGATTCATGAAATAATTTCACCAGTTAAAATTCCTCTCGGAATGAACATTGGATCTGATTACAACAGGGTAACACCTCGTAGATTCAGACGAGACGAGGCTGTAGACACCCGTACGAAACCTTTACCGCTCACAACGCATGATGAAAATTTACGATTGCGATCATACCCTAAACTCGTATCGATCCCAAAAACAATCTCCGTAAACTCCAATAATACCTTGAACATCGAGCCAGCGACTCTCATATTTTTTTGTTTTCAATTTGCCAAAAGGGGTTATCAATAAATAAAGCGCCATTCGTTGGAGAATTCCAGACGTAAATCTGAAGTACTTGCTGGGATATTTTTATGTTGCCTAGGGAGACTAAGAAACTAATAAGCTTGAAAGGGATTTTCCCCGCCCAAATAAGCCCTCAATATATATCTCCCTTTATTTTTTCTTTTATCCTGAATTTAATTGGAAAGCCGAGATATCACTGATATGATTTCTCATCAACATCCGTTTACCTGTCGTGCACGTTTGCACGTATCTCCAGGGGATCAGTAGTGCCGACGAATTTACGAGATATTTTCGGTCTCCACTCGCATACATGAACGGGAAAAAAATACTCTTTCCACTTTGGAAAGGTAAAAGTCATTTCGCTGAATCTATCCGCTACCATTTTTCGTAAATAGCGTAAAGGAAAAGTATGTATCTATCTAATCCCGGTTTGTCGTCCCTTTGGCAATTCAGGGGCAGACCTCACTCCACCTACTTTTACCTGCACCCCGCCTAGAGAAAGCTGATCGCACAAAAGGGACAATACCCCGGTGGCTGATGGAAATCCACCCCCGGGGGAAGAACGTGCTCCCCAGAACAGCCACTCTATTGGCTCCCATCGTGACGCCATCATTTTTCCTTATTCCTCTCCCACTCCCTTATCGTCTAAATAAAATTCCCTTTTTTTTCCATTAATCGCCATTTCAATAAAAGCAATTTTTTTATAATAAATTCCCAAACAACGCAATTTTTTATTCGATAAATAGTAATTACGTAAAAATTATTCAACTGAAGTTTAAAGTTTGTGGATTGAAGGAAACTTGAAGGCTCCCCTCAAACATGAAGAAACTTTTTTTTTCGATGGTTTCAATGTCAAGATCTCACGCGGGAAAAGAACAGATATACAATGTTGTTTTGAGCGGATTTAAATGCAAAAATAAATACTGGCATCCGCTATTTTTACCGCAGCGATACAGATAAATTATTGCAAATGAACCAGCCCGGCATGGGATGCAGACTGAAATAAAAGTGGACATATACATGTCCAAGAGATAATAAAATGATGAAGGCGTAAAAATATCGAGGGACTAGACATTTCAGCGAGACAGAAAATGAATTTGAATTGGCTCAATGAAAATAAGAGAATGATCTTGCCTTCGTCACCCATGGATTCCCCCGTTCCCTCAACGACGAGAGAAAAATTATTTTGACGTATTCTCACTGGCAATACGATATTCTTCATAGTTTATGTAACGAGGCGTACCGAGTCGTTACGTAGAAAAAAGATGACCCATAGATTTTACCCGGGGTAACTTATAAATGTTTTTTTTTTCCTCAACTGTTTCTCTCAGGAAAAACATGACCATTCGAGATACAGTAACTCCAACCTTTTTCCACCTCTAAAATCCTTTACTCAGAGTATTCCCCTGGAATTTCCACGGGTATCTCCAAAAAATCAATGAGGCAGGTACCGAAAAAGGCATAAAACCATAAAAAAAGGGTGAAACCACCGTCTCTGAGGTGCCCAACAATAAACGAATCGAAATTCAACACTTCTCACCAGGAAGTCCCGTCGAGAGAATACCGAGACAAAACTGACCCATCGGGGGATGCGGTAGCTCCCGGAAACACCGACAAAAATAGAGCAAAAAAAAATATGAGCGGTCCCTCCTGGTTACCTGACCGCCGTCATTCGAATCACTGCGACAACGAAAAAAAAAAAAAAAAGGGAAAATGCCTCGCAAAATGCGCGATACCGTTAGGTCGATTGCCTTTTCCTTCCCCTCGAGGCTTTTTTCTTTGCTTCCGTAGTTTTTGCGCGGCTACCGGCCGATACGGATCGCACGTCGAAAAACTCTTACTCTAAGCCTCATATTACCCTTTCATGTACGCAACAACATAAAAAAAAAAAAACGCCAACTCTGTCCCTGAAAATTCCGAGTAAGAACAATTTTCATTAATTGAAAATGCAGTGTCCTCTGTAATGACTAGGTTCTCTGGTGAAATGGGGATGATTGTTCTATCAATTAATGAGGGATTATCTTGTTTTAATTTTCAGCTTACCCTGGAGATGGTGGCGAACCAGGTGATTCCTTGGCAATACCCCAACAACTCACTGCACACCTCCACTACGAATTGAACCTCTTGTACATTCAGGTATGAAATTTATTTCACGAGTCTAGTTTATTACTCCGTGATACGGGTTATAAAGATTTGTTCCCTCTGTTTCCCTCAGTCCTTCAACCCTCGGCCCCTCATTGGGGAAAAAGTTTGAAACTAGAGCAGTAATAACACGTATCACTCAAGCACTGATTCAATCTCGATAAAATAATGAAACCCGTGTCCCACATTAGTTTGAGGTTATTGTTTCCCTCGGAATTCAAACACTTGAGCTCCGATAGCGATTTGATTGATCGGAGTTTGATTGGTTTCGATTTTTCGGGAGTCTACTGTACTCTGAGAGGAAAATAAAAGAGAAATTAATATCGGGAGAGGAATTTCGTATCGGCAGTCGTGCCATTTGCAATATCAATGGACGCGATTGAATTGAAATGTCGTTTCTTATCGATAACACCGCTACCCAATTAAATTCACAGGAAATGATGAAAATTAACCTCGTTTCAAAATGGCTGTTGCGATTTTTAATAGAACAGCCGTGAGGTTGATCTCGTGTTCCACATGCCACGCACTATCTTTGTCGATTGAAATGTGAACTAACCTGCAATCCCTACGCCATTTTTATTTCAATTTTCTATTGACACGTGGGTAATTCGATAAAAATTCAAACATCAATTTTATAATTGCAAAAAAATCCCTCCAAATGGATAAATATTTTTTAAATTCAACAAGTGATTAAAAATATTTGGAAATTCGATTATTATGGAGAAAATAATGAACGGAAAAATGTCAGGACTTGAAATATTCCATGGGGTGATAATAAAATAAATCTTTAGATTGTCGAGAGTCCATTGGGAAGATTGAAATTAGAGGAGTGATGATCTCAAGTTTTCTGGTTCGTCCCATGGAGGTGAATTATAAGTTCGAGTCTTTGCACGGCAGTATAACAGCACTTAAATGATCGTTTAACAGTCCCGTCGAGTGAGTCAGTGAGTTTTAGTGGTACGGTAAATACGATCGTGTATACGATCGCCAACGAAAAATCGTGGGCATCGCACGCGCCCTTAAACTACTGTACACCATATCTACTATCCGACAAACGGGAGTTATCCCTCCGTCGATTTATTGCCCCTCACCATTTACCAACATCTTTATGGCATCGAAAATCCTATAACGATTCAACGCACCTCATCAGGGCCTTTCGTACACCTAAATTATTATACCAACGAAATACGAATCAATCCTTTTATTCGTCTCGATTAAATCGTTCCAGGATTTCCAGGGATATCAATGCAATTTTTCTAGATGTCATCAACTATTTCGATGATTTCATTATCCAAGTGGAATTCGTTCAGGAAATCGCGTGAAATCTTTTATTAAATGCGCCGCACTTGGAAAATACGACAGTACTATAAAAATTCCTCTTTATTCACCGATCTTCCGACAATTATCCCCATAATCACATTTTTATCTCAATCTTCCTCTCGCCAAATATCCAATTTACCTTCCGCCACGTCAAATATTTTTACTGTAATTCTCCCAAAAATACTCTGATACTAACGACTCCCGTTTTCCATTCCTGTTATAAAATATCTTTTTTTTTTTCTTGACAGGAAGAATAAACGGAATTTTCATTTGCATCGCAAATGAGACAAGCGGGAAATTTGAATGAATGATGAAGATCCCGGGTGTATGGAGTCGTAACGCGAAATAGTTGGAAAAAAAAATAGAGACAAGGTCCAGATAGTGGAGAGAATGGAAGGGAGCATATGCCTTTATTTTTTATTTTTATATATCAAGCGGATATTGGATCTAAAATGGAGGATCCCTTGGGAAATGTAGAGCAAAATGGATATCATAGTGGAATCACCTGGTACAGAATTTCTTGTTTGATCCCCAGGTATCTCGGTCGAGAGCAGACGACTGGCTTTGGTGAAGCTCCATGATGGGCCCGTCGGACATCCGGAGATATCTCTGACCAAGGGCTATTTTACTTCGTTTCTCAGGGACTTTATTGATCCATAAACGAAAAAAAAATAATAATTGTCAAATCGGAAAAATTGATTTAATGAACCAGTAGAATTTTTATCGCAATAAACTCGATGATTTACAACAGATCATAAATTATGAAAATTGTTCCGATTCAAACAACTTTCTAAGAGGTCTGATTGATTTTATGTCGTTGCGGATTTTTATATCTCATTTTTTATTTCCAGGTTCATCTATCCGGATAAATCGTGATGGGGAAGAGTCGGGATGAGTTGGGACGTGACGAAGGTGTAATGAACGTCGTATTGGATGACTTGCACGAGAGGAATGGCCAACGCTGGTTGACCATGTCAGTCGCCATCAGGATCTATACCCTTGGAGAATATCCCTACGTATATATTGAGTCACCGCAGGGCTATACGTACCGCCATTTTATCAAAACGTGATCCACCAGCGAAACACGAAATTTCGTACGTGAACGCGCTGCATAAGTGGTAGCCTACACCATTTTATCACAGGGAAATTCCCAAAAAAAAAATTGCAATCTCGATTCCTCACGAAATTCACCACTACTCAATAAATTTTTTCTGCAAATAAAAATAACTCACAATCCACGCCTTTTAAATACCAATTATTCAAATAATTATCATCCCTTCAATTTCAATTGGTTATTCCATTCATCCACCAGTTCAACCGCAATTTTTCCCTCGACTTGAGTTGAGTCGTATATTCCTCTGAAATATTTCCCATGCCTCCGAGTTCTCCTAAATATTCCATGACTACAAAAATCCTCATATGGTAGCAACGAACAACAAAATGAGTCAATTCATTACAAAGTTATGTTTCAAGCTCCATAAATATACTGCACGGTCTCTTGACAACAAGTGCCGTGTGTTGATTGAAAATACGAATGGACCCTCGGACTCTACAATTTCTATCCATTTCTCGTTATTCCCTCCCCCAATTTCTCTGAGAGACGTGAGAGGAAGGAGAAACGAATTCGTGCCGAGTTTTTCGTCATTTTCCCGGGGTACGTGGTTCCCACAGACTTTGTAATTAAACCCCTCTTCCTCCCTCTTCCCCTGTAATCGAGTTTTTTTTTTTACCCAGCTGAGGGGAGGGGACTTTAAATGCCGGTGCTTTGGTGTCGTCAACACCGAGACGCCGAGCTCGAGTTACAAATTACAAAGTTCGGCAACATTGTACCTAAATTTTCGTGCACATGTGTGTTCTTGCTCTTGAAAGAGCGAGCCGAGGAAGAGATATGTTTATACGGATAACCATCAGCCGAGAGGCCACCGGTGGCCCCTAATGGTGGAGAAATACCGAAAATACCAGAGAGGGAGGAGATATTGCGAGGGCGGAGACGCAAGGTGAATTTCAAGAGGGGAGACTGCACTCACCGGTGAAATAATTTGTGGCCTTTTTGCCGTTCTCTCGGGCTGAACAAACTCAGACCACTCAATGATCAAAATCCATTTGATCCTGATGACTCCACGTGAATTCCACTTAAATCTCCAGTCCTGGAGAACGCTAAATTCTTTTTTGAGGGCAATTACGGTTTTACGATGAGAATTCTCAACGTAATTCGAATTGAATTGATCAATCTAGACCTGAACCTAGAACTCAACGACTCAATTGAGGAGTGGCTTGAGTCGTTAATGAGTCAAAAAATAATGGTGAGAAATTTGTTTGTTTACACTGGCCTCAGGCTGAATCTCAATGAATGACTCCTGAAACAGGGTGATAAATGAGTTCACAAGCTGCGATTAGTACTAACGTGACAAGAAGCACGTAATAAAGCAATGATCGTGGTTTATGAGGTAGTATAAAGCGCCGGATATACGTACACACGGTGTACCCCCCTCTCTTGTCTCCTCAAAACCTTACCTCACAGCTCAGAAGCACAAAACCCACGTGTGCGACGTCGTCCACCGTGAAGGAACAGAATGAAAAAAAAATATATATATATACACAGGGACAGATAGTCTGTTAGTTTTACCGGTAGCGATTCACCATTTATCGCACAAAGAAACACTTTCCGCTAAACACATGCTCGTAAAAGTAACGCCTTGTAAATTGTCACGAAAAACAACTCCAACTCTGACTTATTCTCAGCTCAATCATTATTTCCGTTTTGTTGTTGATTTTATTGCATATGGGTTTCCTGATTTGACGCTTGACGAAAAGGGCTTCGAGGGTCAAAACCAGTAATTTTGTTGAATTTACCGTATAGTCATGTCTCGTTAAATTTTTTTTTTACCTTCTGAAGATGCCATTGGTGAAACTCACGATGACGCGGAAAATGACGAGGAAAATATTCTCGGTGGAAAATTAAAATGTCGAGGATTTTTGCACCTGTAATCGATTTGAATAAAAAAAACAACGAGCAATTAGAATTTGATGGCATTCGCAAATTGAATTAATCCTGTTGAATTGAATTGGTCAAGTCCTTGGGAATATGTTCCAATAACTTTAACAAGTCTTCACCAACTTTTACCATAAAAAGGGATATGAGCTCGAGGAAAAAAAAAACTCGTCCGAAAGTGTAATTTCAATAGCGAAACTTCTTCATCCGTCAAATTGGAAGGGTTCGAGAGGACTCGTGAGGTAAGTGGAAAGCGAGGGATCACTCGCAGTATCCAATGATTGCTCATGGCAGGACTGTCCTCACAATTATCCAGAAGTTTCGACCGGACCTCAATATAAAAAAACGAAAAGAAAAATAAGGATAATGCAAAAGCTGCGATGAGATTTCTTCCCTTCCCTCACTCTATTCTTCATAGTCGCGAGTCGAAAGGGTGAGTTTTTTTTTTTGTGAGTGATCCCTCGGAAAATTAATAAAAATTTACGACCAGATTCATAAGAGGAGACTTGTATTCATGAATATCCACTTCTCTGGAGACCACTTGACGTAACATGTACGAAAACATGTTTTCCCTTGGATGACAATTGAGAGGAATACAAGGTACAGGTCAGAAAATAGTGAATTTGTTTGGAATGCCTTGGATTCGCTCGGACTGGAAAAGGAAGAGGACAATAGGAGCAGAGGAGAAAGGGCGTCATTCCATTTGCTTGATACTCCCCACCATTTTTTTTTCTCAGCGGTCTGTGTCTTTATGAGAATGGAAAAGCCAACCGAATCTCACTGGTGCCCCAATGTATATGACACTGCGTTTTTTTTTTTTTTTTCGTTTTGCCTTTAGTACTGTCGGCTCACCGGGTATATATTGGGACAAAACATGATTTAGAGTAATGCCGTGGGTCGGTGGAAATAAAACTCCAGAGCCGAGACCAAACAAATATAACTCGGTATATTCCACGCTCGAAACAAATATATTCTCCCTGATTCAACAGGACACACCTTTTTCACCTTCTGCACAAATCAAATTTATTCCCAAGATTTTTATTCTGTCAACACATTGCGGATATCAGAGTATTCCAATTTTCTCGGTACAATTTCAAATGCTCAGACATCTCATTGCACGAAATGAAAGTACATAAATCTTTTATTGAACAAGTTTGACTAGTGCCGGTGATTGTTAGGTTGAAAATATACATAAATATGGGAATATGGAGTTTGCCGACGGCTGGACCTTTATGGTGGCGTAGGTGGCAAATGGGTTAATGTTTTGTGGCAACAGGTGGCCGTTAATGGACCGCTACCGCATCGCTTTACAACCAACTTTGAAATAATACAGCAAACGTTTAATCTATCTGTGGAACAGATAATTAAACAATTAATCTTAAACGGCACCTCCACTGAGCTTTCCACTCCGTCCCAAAGAAAATTTCATACAAGAACGAAAACCACAATATGTCCTTCCTTAATTGAAAGTAAGTGAGATTAAAGCTGCCACACCTATTGTGCTCCAGTGAATTGTTATGAAAGCACCTAGTGCAATAATTTTACCTCCCCCATTCTCAATCCAGTCACGCAGCTTGTATTAGAAAGAGTTATACTCATGCTTGTCGCGTTGACGCATAAACCGAGACTGCTCATTTGCTCGGGATCTCATTTTTATTTTTATATTTTATCTTTTTTTTTTTTTTCTATATGAAGCTTATCGCGGTCATGCACTGTCGATCGGAAGAGTGTTGCGTGTGGCCAAAAGCACCCGCAACACCGGCTGTCACGCAGCCTCGATTCAAATCAGATAACAAGCCCCGCGAAACTTTTTCCCGCTTTTGTTCTTCTTTTCTCCTCGATTTTGCCATTTTTTTTTTTTTTATTTTTTTTCAAACTCAAATGCTGAGTGGGAATGTGAATTTATGGACGATACTCGGCCATCATGGGAAATACACTCGCAACTTTATTGGGATGCGCGCGCATCTTCGAGTTCGAGCGATCGTTATATCGCAGCGGCATCTGCATGACGATCATTGAAATAGGTCGTAGAAGGTATGGACGGTTGACTGGACCATTCCGCTAACGGTAACGACCGTGGGTTTGCGTCTCAGCTAAAAAGGGTATCCCCCCATGGAAAAACGAGTCAGGCGTGGCCAAAATATCGCCCCGTCCTGCGCACCTCAGCCCTCCACCAATACTATCGCAACGTGACGATTTAATGGAGCGCATGCGCAAGCGGAAGGGAAATGAGAGCATCGGGCGCGAGATTGAAGGACCGAGGGCAGAATTGAATGCCACCTTGCAGCGATATTACACGATATTCTCAAGGGCCATTCACCCCCAAATGTCTTTCATTTAACTAGATTGATCTACTCATATTTCCAGAATTCTCAAATACATATATTTCCAGTAATTGAGGAAATTACTCGATCTAGGGCGTGTTGACTCTGATCAATGGAGAGAAGAGTGACGCTGGAATTTCGAGGGAGAGGGGGCAATGAGTGTAATGAATCTGATTCCTGGTTGATGGGTGAATGACGATCCTCGGTAACTATTGCAAAACTACCCGCAAATTGTCCCTGCCGGTAACTCCGTTTCAGGAGGGAAAGTCACCCTCTTCGGGGGCTCGCTGTTACCGACCTAACGATCGATTCAACCTGGGTTTCGGCTTTAAGTGCCCATCAACGTTGCTTCAAAAATGGCGGCGCTAGTGTCCTCAATCTGTCCATCTAATCTCATTTGAATTTTCGCTAATTGATAGCGACAATAACAAGAAATTAGTACTCAATAAAATGTTCTTCAAGCGGGAGGTCAGCCTGATCGACCTGATATGCCTGATTTATCCACCGATTTATTCACCATGGATCAGCCCAGAACGTGGTGATATTTATGGACGATTATAAAAGAACATTCAGAGCGTTAAGAGCGTAAAAACAACATTTGAGTCACGTAAATGTGTTACAAAGTCGTGGGAGATTGTTAACACATGTTGGTGATTTTATTTCTCGAAAAATATTCAGAGAAAAAAGTGGAAGCCGATGATGATCGAAGGGTCGTTGGGGCGTGGAGGAAAGCATGAGGATAATCCTGAATGGGGGTGGGTGAGAAATGGTTGGGAAAGGACACCTCGGGGGAATGGCTGTATTACTTGGAAAGTGTAACGAGGGTGGGGCTTTAACAGTCAAATGCCTCGACGTGAATTTTCCATTTC